ATTATTTATTTATTTTCATTTAAAAATAGAAATGTTTATATACATGTAAATTTATACAAATATTTATACATATTATAAAATGTAATTATACATAATGATTGTCTCTGTAAGCTATAGGCTTGTTGTGGAGACAAGGTTCTTAAAAATATCTCGTACATTTACTAAAATAATTAATCATAATTAAATTAACACATTATAAGTCGATTGTAGTTGTAGATGATTTAGTGATTACTGATTATAAGCTTCATAAATATACATTTTTAAATATTTTTTGAATTACAGAATAAATATAACAATTTGACAGCAATACAGATATAATAAAATTTATCTATRTTAGTAATTTAATTTTTTCATTTACCATTTTCTTATATAATCTAAAGATTTTAAACAAACCATCGTCAATATTTAGTTCCATTGCCATCTTAATTCCAGCATTCAAGGGGTTTCTTTTTCCAAATTCCGTTCTACACATAGGAATTAAATATATATCAGTTTGTTTCGCTCTTGTACAATGGTTATGGTTACTTACAATTACTTATAGCTACTTTTTAAAGTACGCATTTTAGGTACATATTGCTTTTTAATGCTTTCTAAAGGTTTAAAATTGATTTTTAAAGTAGGGGGGGAACTTTTGGGCGTTCAGGGAAAACGAGCATTGTTATCTATATTCTATACAATTGGCTTCTGATAAAATCAGAAATATCTTTATCAACATCCTATTCCCGAAAGATTTAATAGATAATATTATCTTCAATAGAAATTTTTAATTTATTACTTCCTCTTCGTGTACTTTACGGAAAAATGTATTTTGTATACATACGTAAAAGTAGACTTGAATACGCACTAGACCTTGATTGCACAGAACCCAATCCTTGAACCTTGATCATCATTTTTACAATTCGCTACAATGTCATCACGTCATCCACACGCCATTCAAGCTTTCGTGTGAATCCAATTGAAGCTCATGACATCATCATTATAGGCATACATGCATGCCGTTCACGAGCTATATTGACACACAAAAATAACACGCACGTACACGTATACATTCTATATGACTGTATGTCGTACGTGTTTAGATACGATAAACGTGACTTTGGTTATAAAAAAGAATAAAGTTGGCCCGAACATTTGGGATTGATAATATATTTAAATTCCCTAGTATGATTATTTATTGATGTCATTTTGTGCGTTATAAAATGTTTTCATTCAATAGAATATAAAAAAGTCATGACAAAATTAAATTAAATTATTAAAATTGAAGGTATTTTATGGATAAACTAAATATGTTATCGRTTGACTGATTAATTATAGCACATATTTAAGTAGGTTCCAATTGAAATAATAGTTTCACACCAAGACACTTGTATGTACTTGATTGGTTTGTATATCACGTATACAACCGTGTTGACATGTTGTCCACTTTTACTCATTTATTTATTATAATGTACCTATACGCTATACTACCAATAAATTATGTACCACATACTCGAACTGTAGGTAGGTATTATAAAGTACACCTCAAATATGGTTTTAAATAATTAAATGTTAAAAACAATTTTCATGTAAAATACTACTTCTTTTTAGGTTGGTTTAAATTTAAATTTTAACATAGATCTCAATGCTGTATACAATATTAGCCATTATGACATTTTGAAATACTCCTTTATGTAAAAAAAAATGTATTTCCAATATGGTTTACTGCTGTAAACAACGTGATTTTGTGACTCATATAGAACCCGATGGCGCTTCGTCCGATTTGCATAGTCATTTCGGTCAACGGCCAACCATGACCTCCTCTCTTCGACCTCATAAAACACGATCTGGTCGTACGAAATATCAAACCCACCTCCCCCAGCTTTACTTTCTCGCCTACTTCCGTGTTAATTTCTTGTACTCGTACGCACATTTATTGGATAAACACATTTATATTCATCTAGTACCTATGCCTTCACTAATGTATTTGATAATAACAAGACATTCATAATTACGTATTTTACTTGTACCTATATTGTATAGTGTTCTACATAAACGCATAATAATAATAATAATACTATATAGATATACATAAATTATGAATTAAGTTTATATTTTATATTTGCCTATCTGAATAGTTTTAATCAAATAAATCATGCTATAGATGTTTCAGATTAAATTTTAAACTGCGACTTAAATAAATATGTTTATAACGATAGGACACGTCATGTGTTCATATAATTTTAAAAWAACTATTACGATTCAAATATGCCTAAGTAACGCAGTTTATTTTTTGTAACTGAATTATTTACCTACATAATTTTAAATAATTCAATCACACTCGTGGTAAAATCTTATGTAATAGATATTTGTATTTGATTCGTGTGTTATTATTATTAGATAGGTACCTACAAAATAAAATGTTTATATTCACACGATCATTAATCATGATTAATATATTAGTACATACTACCATTTAACAAGAAAACTGTCCTACTATTACCTGTTATATAGGTTAATCAGTTAATTTATTATGTGACGATTATTTTTTATGTGTAGTGTATTTTCAATTGATGCAATTTTA